AGATGGAACCAAAGAACAATGTGACTTACTTTGTCCTCTTGGGCCTCACACAGAATCCAAAGGAGCAGAAAGTCCTTTCTGTTATGTTTTTGCTCTTCTACATTTTGACCATGCTGGGCAACATGCTCATTGTTGTGACTGTAACTTTTAGTAGGACCCTGGGCTCACCCATGTACTTCTTTCTTGCCAGTCTATCATTTATGGATGCCATTTATTCTTCAGTCGTTTCCCCCAAATTGATTTCAGACTTGTTCTTTGGGGAAAATACCCTATCCTTCAGATTTTGTATGGCCCAGCTGTTTACAGAGCACTTTTTTGGTGGATCAGAGGTCTTTCTTCTGTTGGTGATGGCCTATGACCACTATGTGGCCATCTGTAAGCCCTTGCATTATTTGGTTATCATGAGGAAATGGGTGTGTGTTGTATCACTGGTAGTGTCCTGGGTTGGAGGTTTTCTTCACTCAGTAATTCAACTTAGCACTATTTATGGGCTCCCATTTTGTGGCCCCAATGTCATTGATCACTTTATCTGTGACATGTACCCCTTACTGAAACTTGTCTGTACTGACACCCGTAGCATTTTTGTGGTTTTATATTTTATATGAAATTTTTTATCTATTTGATGTTTATTTTGATATCATCAGTTAAATAGGATTAAGTTCTATTGTTTTGTCAGTGAATTATTTTGTAGTTGCATAATTATATTTTCACCACTGAGTTGAAATCCCAATTTCATTGTTTCTAAAGTCCTATATAAATTTGGATGCAATTCAGGAGTCTATTATTTTCCATTGATCTCTGCTGTCATGTGCCATTTAATACAAGAAATAATTGCATTTCTTCTATAATACATTGTGATATGCAATAAGCTTAGGACTCCCTCATTAATCTCCTTTTTCAGAATTATGTCCATTCCTGCATATTTGTGTTATGGAATTAAACTTATGATAAGCTAGAAAGGTCACAAAAAAGTTGTTATTTTCAATGTGTTTTGATTTAGGAAGATTAATTTAGCAAGATTGTATATCTTTAGAATTTTGAGGGTTCTTATCCATGAGGAGGGTAAATGTTTACATTTAGTTACGTCTTTTTTATGCTCCCTAGTAGTACTTTATTTTTTCTTTCTGTTACTTATTCTTTATAGGTGGCTACTCTTCTTCTTCCCTGACCCATAAAATGCTAGCTAACACTTTTGCTGTAAGAAAAACCGCCACTTTCAGGAAGTGTATGACTTAAGTATTTGCTGAGCATCTTTTGATGCTACTGAGGTCATTCTGCTGATGGGGATGGCCTATGACAGCTTAGGGACATTCTGTAACACAGACCATCATGAGCAGATTGTATAGTTGTGGCCATCTCACGGGAGTGGCCTAGGATGGAGGCTCTATTCATTCAATAATTCGGATTCTTTTCAGAGTCTGACTGCCTTTTTGCGGTCCCAATGTCATTGATCATGAGTGACAGGAACACTGCTGAAATTCATCTTCTTGGAAACTCATACCTTTGGTCTCTTCATTGCTGCCCAGAGAGGGTTCATCTGCTCATTAAACTTTCTCCTCCTACTGGTCTCCAATATGGTCATCATATACCCTTTGAATTGTCACAGTTTGGATGGTAG